GATGGATCGATTCTGTGAGTGGAGTGATGGGAATGAGTGTGTTTGAGACGGCGAGGTTGGCACAGGATAGAACAACGTTTAGGGCTCTTGTACATAGGGTCGCTATGAGTCGCAAGGGACTCAATGACACATAACAACAACATTTTCATTTGAGTTTGATCTTACTAAGTCTCTTCCAGCCCCGATGGGATTCTAACGAAAATGTACGGCACGTTAAAATCGGCAGTTTTATATATTTTATATATAGTTTATATATATATATTTTCAGATACATATCAGTTCAGATGCTGTTTTTAATTCTGCAATAAAACTAAGCTATAGCTTACCCCGCCCCTTGTAATTTTTCCGGCAGAAAGATACCAAATGTTACCTATTGCTCTTGTATGATTCTCCTCACAGTGTCCCTATAAAGTGGGGTAAAACTGTCCAAAGTTGTTACTTTTAAACGAGGAAAACTGTCACATCGGTCCTCGTGGAACAGCCTGCTGGTTCAAATCCCTTATTTTTTCGGTTAGTTGCTAAGCGCTCAAACAATGCGACACCAGGCTTTCTGCAAAGAAAACAGGAAATCCCTTTTTACCTGCAACGTCAACGGATCCCGTTAATGGGCGCGCACCGGCCCCTCCTTCCTTCCCGCTTAGGTTCCGGGTTACCATGGAAATAAAGGATGACGTCACTTAGCGCTTCCGCGTAAGGACCCAGGGCTCCTCAGCGACGAGGGCCCAAAGGCGGCTTTGGGGACGTGTACGCATGCGCACTCACTGCCGCGCCTCCCTGGCCTTAAATCTCGTAGGGGGTCCCGCTCCTGGGCCACGACCTCTGGCTTAGACCTTTCGCAACGGCCCCATGGCGGGGCGGAGAGTCGGAAAAGAATTGAGGGAGGGTTAGCCAATTCCGAGACACTACGATGCAACCAACAGTGATTGACTCCACAGGCTAACCAATGAGAGAGCACTTCCTGCCAGCGTCACAGAGTCTGGCCCCCACCTCCCCCGCCTCTGTGGACTCCGAGCTCAGTCCGCGCAGTAACAAAAAACGAAGTGCGCGCTGCGACACCTCCCAGTTCGCTGAGCTCCGCCGCCATTTCCTCTCTGGGCCTAACGGTTCGGCCAATCCCAGAGCGCAGCGAGAAAGGCGAACGCCTGGCCAATCGGAGGCCGCCGATCCCGACCTCGCGCCGCGGCCCGGTCCAATCGAGGCCCGGCCCCACCGCCCCCGCCCCGCCCCCGCGGCGCCCTCTCTCCTCCCTCTTTGTGAGTCTCGCGCCGCCGCCGCCCGCCGCGTGAGAGGACGGTTCCGCGCGCTCCGCGGCAGCGCAGTCGGCACCCCCCCCACCCCCGGAAAATTCGCGAAGGAGGAGCCTTCGCCGTCTCCGCTAAGGGAAAGGAGCCGCCGGTGCCAGTCTCGGGCGCCATGGCGACCGGAGCGAACGCCACGCCGCTGGGTAAGCTGGGTCCCCCCGGGGGCT